GCCTCTGCGAACGCTAGCATTTTAAGACAGGAGGCGGCCAAGCACTTCTGTGGCGAGGGACTCGCTGGAGGTGCAGACAATCACTCTCTCAGAGCTTTGCTACTCAAGCTCAAGACTGTCGAGAAGGGTCGTCAGCTGGTGGAAGTGTTAGTGAACATATGTGTAGGAGGATCTTGGCCGCAGGCGAGGAAGAAGGACGAAGGTCTGATTTCGGATGACACCTGTGTACGATGTCGGGAGGAGCCAGAGACGCCTCGGCACAGGCACTGGCTATGTAGGTGCAACACGGCGCACCCTGTATTTGAAGAAACTGATGAGCTTGTAGTTCAGGCTCTCACGCAAGGAGATGCTACACCATGTTTTTGGTATCGAGGGGTTATCCCCAAGCAGTGGGCGGCGGTGGATCCGCCACCTCAGGTCGAGGCTTGGAAGCTCTTGGGGACCCCAGAAGGCTCCATAAGTCGTGGGTGATTGGGCACGGGCTCTTGGGAGGCCCCCCTGGTCCTCTTCGGGGGCGCCTCAGGGGGGCCTGAGTCGCGTGACGAGCATCTTAGGCGCGTGGGGTTCTCGGTGGTTTCTCTCGCGAGTCACGAGCCTCTGGTTATTGGGCCCTCGATCGCAGGACCTCTTGTTGGGGATCTTCAGTTAGTTCGTCGAGGCGAATTGCGGGGGCTTGAAGTTGCCGTACGTTTCAGTCGTGGTGTCTTGGTTTACGTATCTGATAATCGGGCTGTAATTGATGGGTGGCACAAGCGTGCGTACCTCCGACCCCAGGGAGAGCTAGGGCCGATCTGGAGGGAGATAGGTAAGCTCCTCGAGACCCGAGATCCCGTCTTCATTACGGTCATTTGGGTCCCATCACATCTTGACGTGCGACAGGCACGTGATCAAGGCATTCCCTTTCAATTTCTGCTCGGCAGCGCCGTAGCAGATGAGATTGCAGGCGAGGCAGCCAAATAATGGAGGGTCAATGAAGGGCAGAGGGCTAGAGTTTGGGACATCGAGAGAAAAGCAGCTATGGTGCGAAGGCGACCGATGAGAGCACAATTTGCAGCGATGGCAGCCGAAAAACTCTTGCCTGATCGACGTCCCGCGCCGCAGGTTGTGGAAGGTGATGTTCCACCCCCTCCCCCTCCTCCTCTCCCCCCGCGGCCGCCCTCGGCCGCAGCCGTCGCCGCGTTCAGCACGCGCCACGTGCTGGACGACACAGGCGCCCGATGCTCTCGCTGTTTCTCAGCCTCCTCGAAGGCCGCCAGATCAGCCTGGCTCAATTCTGAATGTGTCAACCCACACTTTGTTAATGATGTGCTGTCCCGTCCTGGAACTGGGGTTGGGTCCACGTCGGAGGGGGGTGGGTGCATGTGTCTCACAGAATGTTCTTTTCTCAAACAGCGCGTGCATGGCTATGTCGAGAATGTGGGGCCTGTGGCAAGGGCCAGCTCAGATCTCTCGCGAATCCGTGCAGACCAGACCTGATCACCCGCACACGGCGGGAGTATATTGATCGGTTTTTGAGGGGCCTCCCCCCAAAGCACAAGGCTTGAAGTGAGATGTGGATGTTGCTTCGCAACTGTTCTGATTCCTGATTCCTGATTCCCCCCACCCCCTCCTCGTCATCCTCCCTCCCTGTCTTCGTCGTCGTCCTCCTCCGAGCCTCCTCCTCCGCCTCCTCCGCCTCCTCCTCCTCCTCGTCCTGCTCCCCCCCCTCTCCCTCCTCGGGCTCCTCCCCTCCCGCTGCTCCCGGGGCGTGGCTCGGTGAGGCGGGCGGGGCCTGGGCGGCGGCTCGGCGTGCCGCGCCGGCCCCCCGAGGATCTCCGCCGGGGCGGCGCGCGCCCGAGCGGCGGCCGCCCCTGCGAAGGGGGAGCGCGAGCGGTGCTCCGAGAGGGCGCTGGGGCCCAGGGCACGGTCTGCGCGAGTCGGGCGGGCGTGTCGGGGGGGGGGAGAGACCTCCCACCCTGACACGTCGAGTAAGGACCTGGCCGTTTTCGGTTCGCGAGAGGGCGTCGCGGCCGTCATTTTTGCGGGTCCAGGTCCGTCGGTTTCGGTCCCCGACCGCTTTCACTAAGGGGAGGTCTGCTAAAGGGAGGTTTGTCCACCGCCGAATGTGATCGCCTCCGCGTCGTTGCCTGTTCGGTTCCTCGCTCTTGCCTGCCGCCGCGGCGGGTGTCGGGAAGTGGATGGCCAAGGGTCTTGCGTCCTCACCTCAGCCACGCGCAGACAGGGAGAGGGGCGAGCGGGGAGGGCTTCTAAGAAGCACCCCTGCTTCTTCGAATCAGGCGATCGCAAACATGGATTAAGGGGGCGCGGATTAGCGACGGGTCCCGTTTCCATGGGAAATCGCGGGTTTCCGCCGCCGAGCGAGGCGGCACCGGCCGCATTTTGGGGAGGGCACCTCCCCCGATCCATGGATTTGGCGACCGCGCGCCAAATCCATGGATCGCTAATCCATGTTTGCGCGCCCCCGAGTGAGATTAGGCTGTCGCGAACGCGGCGCTCAGCATTCCAGAGCGCAGCGGCGCCTTCGGGCCCTCGGGGTTCCAGGAGCGGCCTGGGCTGGACTCTGCTTCCTCCTCGGTGCCCTGTGGGCGGGCCCGGAGTTCTCTTCGGTGAGTCCATGGCTTGCCCTGGGAGTGCAGCCGCACGATCAGAGTGTGGGTTGCCCTGCTCGATCGGGCTACTTCGGGTAGGGCTATTGGAGCGGGGGGGGGGGCGATTTGGAAGTATGGGTTGGGGGACAAGGGGGTGACACAGGAGGGGTGGAGGAGGGGGAGGGAGGGGGGAGGAAGGAGGGCGGGGGGATGAGATGATAGGGGAGGGGCGAGGGGGGAAGGGGAACGGGGGGAAGAGTGGTGTGGGGTACGGGATGGGTGGTTGGGAGACGGGAGGGTAGTGGGGGGTGGGGGGAATGGGGAGAGAGGAGGAGGAGGTAGGATTGTGAGGGTGTGAAGGGGGGCAAGTACTGATGTACTTATTTATTATTACTTCTGCATCTTGCTTATTCATGATTCTCGTCTTCTTCTTATTATTCTTCTTCTGCGTCCTTCTTCGTCTTCTTACTGCATCTTCTTCTTCTTCTTCTTCTCTTCTTATCTTTCCTTCTTCTCTTCTTTCTTCTCTTCTTTCTTCTTCTTCTTCTTCTTAAGTCTTCTTCTTCTTATCTTCGTCTTCTTCGTCTTCTTCGTCTTCTTCTTCTTCTTATTATTCTTATTATTCTTCTTCTTCTTCTTATTATTCGTCTTCTTCTTCTTCGTCTTCTTCTTCGTCTTCTTCGTCTTCTTCCTCTTCTTCCTCTTCTTCCTCTTCTTCCTCTTCTTCCTATTCTTCCTCTTCTTCTTCTCTACCTTCTGTCTCTTTCATTCTTCTTCTTCTTCTTCGTCGTCTTCACTTCTTCTTGCTTCCTCTTCTTACTTCTTCGTTTGTTGCTATGCTTCTTTCTTACTTATTCTTTTCTTCTTCTTAAGGATTTGGCTGACTTTCTTCCTACTATCTCCCCTCTTCTATCTACCCCCCCCCCCCTCTCCGACGGCGGTGGGGGGGCGGACTGCGCGTGCCGGCCGCTCGAGTGCGGGCGGCGACGGCGTGTGGCGTCGCTGGGGTGTGAGAGGCGCGCCAGCGCTGCCGATAGAGAGAGAGAAAGAGAGAGAGAACAAAAAAAAGAGAGAGAGAGAGAGGGAGAGGAAAGGAGCGAGAGAGGGGCATGGAGAGAAACAAGAGAGAAATAGAGAGAGAGAGAGAAAGAAAGAGAGCGAGAGAGAGAGAGAGAGACAGAGCAGGGTGTGAGGAGGAGGAGGTGGTGGAGGAGAGAGAGGAGGAGGAGGAGGAGGAGGAGGAGGAGGAGGAGGAGGAGGAGGAGGAGGAGGAGGAGGAGGAGGAGGAGGCGGAGGAGGAGGAGGAGGAGGAGGAGGATTTCGGCAATTCCGCATCTCGCTCCGCGCGAGTTGCGCGGTCCGGCCTCGCCCGCCGCCGCTGATGCCGCTGCGGCCCTCTGTCGGGGGGTCGCGGCCCTGTAGGAGAAGGAGGGCGTGCCTGTGTGAACCCCAAACGCATCAACGATGTTGGCAAGACCCTCTCTCCAAACTCCCTCTCCACAGGTCCCCTACAAGGGTTTGCTCTCAGTGCGGGAAGTGCCCCAGTGGAGGACAGCCGTTCAAGAATCCTCCACCATCCCAGGACACCACTCATGGGACTTCCGCGTTTGGACTACACGTGGCAGTTGCGTCCCAACGATCTTAAATCGTGCCAGAGCCCATTCCTGGGACTTCAGCATCGTGAGTTAACGTGACTGTTGCGTCCTGACGTGCCAGAGCACGATCCCAGGGACTTCACCCATACGAACCTTTTGAAACTGCGGCAACGTCTCAAGACGAATGTGTGCGGCGCTAAGGCGATAGCCACATCTTGAAAAGGATCAGCCCTCCATCTCTGAAGCTGTCGCAATAATTAAAACGAGTGTGCGCGGCGCTAAAGCAAGAACCACGTATTGAAAAAGACCTGTCTTCCATTCTTAAAGCTGTTTCAGATGTTCGAGACGAATGTGCGCGGCGTTGAGGCAAGAGCCACATGTTGAAAAGGAATCGCCATCCATCCGTGAATCTGCTGCGAATCTCAAGCTTCAGGACCATAAGTGGTGGGGAAATATCAGGGAGGAGTGATGTATGAGGAAAACGGATGGAGGAGGATGAGGAGGAGGACGAGGAGGAGGAGGAGAAGGAGGAGGAGGAGGAGGAGGGCGAGGAGGAGGAGGATGAGGAGGAGGACGAGGTAGGCTATCGACTCGATGCGGGCATGGTTGTGCGCGTGCTTTTTGGAGGAGGGTGAAGGGAGCAGAGGATGGTGATGACGATAAGGAGGAGCAGGAGCAGGAGGAGGAAGAGGAGGAGGAGCTTGAGGAGGAGGAGGAAGAGGAGGAGGAGGAGGAGGAGGAGGAGGAGGAGGAGGAGGAGGGAGGAGGAGGGAGGAGGAGGAGGGAGGAGCGCCTACGGAACGCCAGATGCTCGGCGGGGCGGCAGGCCGCTGCCGACGGGGCGGACCTGCTGCAGGAGGTCTTCGTGATCTGGCAGAAGGAGACCTTCGACCTGAAGTATGCCATCGAGTTGGTCGGCCGGGCCTGGTTGAAGTCTCAGAGCCGGGCGCTGCGAGCAGCTGCGTTGCTCTCGGCCTCCAGAGGCCGTCGCCCCGGCTGGCCCCGGGACCATCGGAAAACGATTCGGGACGAGAAGCTGGCCCCGGGGTGGAGGGTTTCTCCGAAGGGCTTAGGCGACCCGTCCTCCTCCTCCTCTTCCTCCACCTCCGCCTCCTCCTCGTCCTCCTCCTCCTCCTCCATCTCCTCTTCCTCCTACTCCTCCTCCTCCTCCTCCATCTCCCCCTGCCCCCTCCCACTGCTCTTCCTTCCTTCTCCTCCTCCTCCTCCTCCTCCTCCTCCTCCTGCCCCTCCTCCTCCTCCTCCTCCTCCTCCTCCTCCTCCTCCTCCTCCTGCTCCTCCTCCTCCTCCTCCTTCTCCTCGGGTCGCCTCCGGCCCCGGGGGAAACCGTGCATCCTGGGGAGGTGGTCGAGATGGTTGCGGGCCGCCGTCACGATAAATACGCAACGTCGAAGGAGAGGGAAGACCAGGCTGTCAGCCACGCGCAGAGGGGTGCAGGGGGAAGGGGGAGGGGCTCTGTCAGCCATCTCCCTCCCCCTCCTCCTCCTCCTCCTCCTCCTCCTCCTCCTCCTCCTCCTCCTCCTCCTCCTCCTCCTATAGTGGACAAATGTGCGAAGGATGTTAGATGAGACTGCAGCTCCTCTTGCAAGCAAGGGTCGCCAGCTCATCCAAGCTGGATCAGCCCCTGCACGAAGCCTGTGTGAGCCTTGTCTTTAGCTTCTTTCAACACATGCCGACAAGCTTGGGCGAGCTGGTGTAACAGAATGGCCCCGTTACCTTTAGCGTGTGTCTTTCCAGCCTGGATAAGACTACTGACAGCCTCTCGCACCAAGAAGTTATCACATTACTGTACGGCACCTGTCTCCCTTAATTCGGAATGCGTACTTACTGCTCTTTTAAAGTAGTAGCCGACCGACCGAGAAATTGACTGAGGCATTTCCTGGTCATGATGATCGCATACTGCCTTCTCCAGTACCGATACCCATGTGGCAGAAAGAGCCGAAACCGAGCTGACCAAACCCGACCCTAGTCTCGCAGCTACGTGCGCAGCAACGGCATGAGGGCAGGAGGAGGGCACAAAGCCAGTGGACGTGCGAGCTTCAGCCCACACTCCGTCAGGATTTGCAGGGCTGACCGCTGGAAACGTGGGCCCTTCGTCCGCACCTGGGGAGGGGGGGTCGCGGCTCGACGCAGTCGCTGGGAGGGGCTGCACGGCACCGAGACGGCACGGTGCGATTTGTCAGCACTGACCAGGCCCCAAAGCGCATTCGGACACACCTTGTGGGGGAGGGGGGCCTGTCGCTGGTTTCACGGTGTACAGCCTACGCGAAGCCGCACCGTGGGCCGACAAATGGGGATGGCCCCCCTCCACGGGTCGACTGCGAGGGGGCTGCGATCTGTGCTCGTGTCTCAACAAAAAGAGGCCCCAGGCAGCCGAGGGCGCACGAGCCGGCAGGGAGCAGCTGCCACCGCGGCTGGCCCGGCCGAGCACAGGCAAAAGCGAGGCGTGGCAGACGGCCCCGCTCGCGGCTCTTGGGAGCCGACTGGCCTGCACGGGGCGCGGGCGCGCCGCGAGACGGCGCGACGAGCCCCTACACCCCGAGGAGCGGGCCTCGACTGTGCCCTCCTCTTGGCATGGCTCGGACGTGTGCATTGTTTCCCTCGGCGAGGACCATCGGGGAGCATCCCCTGGACCATCGAGCAACAAAAAACACACGCACGAAGTCGAAGGATGCATCGGCGAGGACCCTCGAGGAGCATCCTGGATCATTTGGCGAACAAAACACACGCACGAAACCGAAGGATGCACGGGAAATGGACGTCCGAGCGACGGCCAGTCCTGGCGCTCCCGCACCAACGGCCAAGGCGGCCTGGGGCAACGACGGGCCACCACGGCCACTGCCAGGGGTCGCCGGGGAGGCCCCATGAGGCGAGCCCCGAGGAGCCTGCGGGATCCTGCCCTCGTGGCGGCCCCAGAGAACCATCAGGACAGAAAGTGAGCTCCTGAGCCCAGGGGTCTCCTCCGAAGGGGCCTCGGGCAGAGCGTCGGTGTCGCCGACCGCAGGGAGCTGGTACTCGTCAGCGCGTGCCTGCTGCTCGGACAGCCACAAGTCAGAAAATCTGCGACAGTAGAACTGATCTCTCATGGCCGCGCACGCTGCAGCCTTAGCCTTGGACTCAGGCTTTGCCCCCTGGGGCTGGGAGCCAGGCGTCGGCTGCGCAGTGGGCCTCGGGACCCGAGGGAGGCGGGCGGGCAGCACGAGAGCTCGCCGTAGGAGCTGCTTGCCCGAAGACCGACTTCGGATTTCCCAGCCGCAGGGCGTCTCCCAAGGAACTCGACCTTTTCGAAACTGACATGAGGTAAAACAACAGCAGCGGCGCACCTGACCACGACATCGATGCTTCGCATCCAAGAGGAGGAGGAGGAGGAGGAGGAGGAGGAGGAGGAGGAGGAGGAGGAGGAGGAGGAGGAGGAGGAGGTGGAGGAGGAGGAGGAGGAGGAGGAGGAGCAGGAGGAGCAGGAGGAGCAGGAGGAGCAGGATGAGCAGGAGGAGCAGGAGGAGGCGGAGGAGGAGGAAGACCAATACAAACCCAAGAGTCATCAACGATGTTGGAATTAACCCTGCCTCCACCTGACTCGCACGTGTGCTTGGTGGCGGCAGGTACCGCCTCTCCTCCTGCACGGCCTGGACATCTAGCTCTAGTCCAGTCGGCGCCCTCCCCCCGCCGTAGGGTGCCTCGCTAAACGTGGCAGAGCGTGGAGCTCAAAAAGAAACTCTGGTCCAGTCGGCCACAGACATACCGAAGCGCCCCGCGAGAGCCCACGGGAGCCTCAAGGAGGCCAAGACACGATCCGACGCGCATGAACCTTTGCATGCTGTCCCCCGACAAGCCCACCGAAGTGAAAACATAACAAGCGACTGCACTATGATAGTATCCTTGCATATGCATATGCGAGGCGATGAAACCATCACTAGAAACCTGACCGTCTCTCTGGAACTCGGGAATCCGATCCAGCTGGGGGGTGAACGGATGCGCTTGCTTGTGACCGGGCACCAAACTCCATCCGCCGCCTTCCGTGGCTTTCTCGAAGCCCTCATCAGTAGAAGACCGCCCTGTACGACGAGCAGCATTAGGAGTCATGCGAGGGTTGGTTCGACGAGCCTTCTTTGGCCACGTCGGGAGACTAGGCCGTGAAACGCGAGTTGCACTTCATTCGTAAGCTTCATGTTCGCTGAGATTGGGGCGATTCAGACACAACATCCCGCATTTTGCCACCCACAGCAGTGGCATTGCTGTACAACGCGCGAGAAGGTGCACTTTCGGATGCTTGCGCAGAATGGGGCGCAGGCTCAGCCTCAGCGGTACCTGGTCAACGTTCAGCGTCGCCACCACCTTCAGGAACAGGTTGGGCCGAAGCATCCGTAGCCGTCGCTGCAGCAGCCTGACGTTTGGCCCCGAACTTGGTCTGGGAGCGACGATCTGCTGCCTCGGCTACCTTCTTTATCATGCTCTGCCTTATCGCTAGACGATGCCGAAGCCGCTGAGGCCGTGCCAGCGCCATGCGACCCGTCTGCAGGAGGACCACTTTCGGCCGGCTGCCTCGCCTGCCCTGCTGGCTGAGCTGGGACTGCAACACCAGGCGCCGCTGGACCATCGGGGCCCTTGCGCTTCCTGGCCATAGACGATCCGTAACAAGTCTGCGAGGATCACGAGCTTCCTTGAGCCACTGCTGAACCTTTGCCGAGGCTGGCGTGGGTCGGCTCGAGCTCGGCTGTCCGAGTGCGTGCCAGAGCCGCCACGGCCACCTTGTGTGCCAGTTTGCGCTCCTTGGCGCGAGCTGATTCTGAATTCTTTTCCACGAGGATCGCGCTGTCCACTGCCTGCGAGTGGCGGTTGTTGGCGTCGCGCCAAATCCCATCGGCCTTCTGCATTGCCTGCGTTACGTTGCTGGAATCGCCTTTGTCACGGTGGAGCTCGCGAATCTGGACCCCGAGCGTCCTGCGAAGGTCTGGGCCTTGAGCAGCTGCAAGTGCTTGTTGAAGATGGGACATCACAGCAGCCGCAGTCTGTGTACTACCTCTAGGAGCGCTGGCTGAGGTACCTCGAGCGCTACCTGGAGCCGGCGTGCCAGGGTTAAGATCCATCGGCAAACGTCAAATATGTGCGAAGGATGCCTTTTTGCTCCGAAGCTGGCTGATACAAACGAACCTTTCTACCGCGTCGTCCGCGTGCCATGTCCTGGCCTAACGACATATCCATGTACTCCGATTCCAGGGCTGCGAGATTCGCGCGAACTGCTCATCGGTATCAAGTGTCAGCCAATATTCAGCGGACAGGTACTTTTGCTTCCCAGTTCCATGGCCGTCAGCTGCACGGCATACTCGGTTCAGCCGTCGTCAGATGTCGCCGATACATGGGTGCTGTTTGCGGGTTCTGGAGCCAGGGGAAGACGTCTGCCCACGCTCTTTGGACCTTCGGAGCCCTGGGCGGGGGATCCCGCTGTTGCATATCCAAGGGGATGCTTGCGAGCATGGCTGGCCGAGTGGCTGCCTGCTCCCTCCATTCGATCGGGGGTGCGACGTGCTTGGCCACTGTTGCCGCCACGTCTTCGCTCGCGGTGGCTCCGGGACAGGGCGCGTGGCATTCGAGGGTCTGCAGGGGCCGCAGTCATTGCGTGTTCTCTGCGAGGCTGGATGGGGGCCCTGCGGAAGCCATTGTCCTGGGATGCCCTCCCGCGGACTTCCCCGGGGACTTCCAGGCTTGGAGGCCTCCCGAGGCCGATCTGCCCGGAGGCCTGGTTCGCGACTCGCCCGAGCCCCTGCCGGACGGCCTGGCTGCCGCTGTGCAGGCTCGCCTTTGGAAAGATGCGTCGGCGCGCTGGCTCGGGGAAGGCATGCAGCACGGGGCGGATACTTTTATATGAATCGCTTCGCTCATTCCGCCGGCCCTGGAGCGCTATTTGGGGCCTCTTGGGGCCGTTCTGGGGGCTTCTTGGGGGCTTCTTGGGAGCGTCTTGGGGCTCCGTGGCGGCGTATTGGGCTCCCCTGGGGCCTCTTGGGGGGCTCTTGGGGGCCCCTTGGGGCGGGAGGGGGGTAGTCGTTGGCAGCCCCCCCCCCCTCGGAGGCCACGATCCTCGTGAGGGGTGGCGACAATTAGCCCCCCCCTGGGGATCGCCCGGGGGTCAGCCGGGGATCGGCCGGGGTACTTTTCGTCCAGGGCCCCCCAGGGGCCGCCCCGCGCGCGCGAACTAGAAATATTGTTAAGTAGTTACCAGAGATCTTAGCACGCCTCTGGCCCGTTGGGCCGGCGAATTCGTGTGGGCGTCGGACCTCCCAGCTCCGCGCTGTGCAGCACGGCGAGGCGCTCGCCGAGCTTGCGGCGTCTGTGTCTGCAGCCAGCTGCTGGCCACGAGCACGAGCGCGCGCCGCGATGATCCGTGCCCCCGGCGCAAGAAGCTGCAAACCCGGAACCCTTGCTGCTCTGATGCGCGCGTTTTGAACCGTAACCCGTGCCGTGTTCAGAGCGTCCGTGCTCAGAGCGTACGTGTTCGGTCTGCGCGTGGAGCTCCGCATCAACACGCGGCGTGTTGCGTGTTGCGTTGGCTCCCCCTTCTCTGCGTCATTCAAGCTCTGCGCGGCCCGCTTGGCTTCGACCGGAAGAGGTGCGCTCTCGACCCGCGAATCAAAAAGTGCTGCGTGTGGCGTATCGGGGCAGCAGGGCCAGGAGCTGCTTCCCACAGGAGCTGGGCGTGCGAAGCCGAGCTGAGGGCGAGGCGCCCGAGGGTAGCGCTCCGCTGGGCCCCCGAGGCGAAGGCTCGGGCCGAGTGTCCCTGCCATGTGTTCGCCTGTGGCTGCGTGGGCTTCGCCCTCTCCCGGCCGCGTGAGGCCCCGCCTTCTTCCGCCCTCTCTCTGCAAATTGAAGCTGTGCGCGTCCCGCTTAGCTTTCAGCGGAAGAGGTTCGCTCTCGCCCAGGCGATGGAGCGATGAAGCGAGGAGGACGCCAGGGGCGTTCGAAGCTGAGCTGAGGGCGAGGCGCACGAGGGTAGCGCTTCGCTGGGCTCCCCTTCGCCTCGGGCCGAGTGTCCCTTCCATGTGTTCCTGTGGCTTGCGTGGCACATTCTGCCCGCGGGTCTGACCGCCCCGCCCGCGCCTCGCACGGAGCAGCGGTGTTTTTTTTTCGGGACCCTCCGAGCTGCGTCCGGGACGACTGGGCACGGGTGCGCTTCGCCGTCTCCTCTGCTCGTGCTCGGGGGTGCCGGCGGCGGGGAGCCGTCCTCCGATCCGAGATGTCGGAAGGCTGGAACCTCGGCTTCCTCGCTGTCTGGATTTCAACACGTGGTGCCCGCGGCGGGGAGCCGTCATCCGATCCGAGATCTCGGAGGGCTGGAACCTCGGCTTCCCCGCTGTCTGGATTTCGAACACGTGGTGCCAGCGGCGGGAAGCCGTCATCCGATCCGAGATCTCGGAGGGCTGGAACCTCGGCTTCCTCGCTACTCCAGATTTCGTAATAAAAGGGAGGGGGTCTGGACCCTCCAAGACAAGCGATTTCAGACCTCCCCCGTGGGAGAACCCTCCAAAACATCGTCCCCAGACCCCCCCCAGGCCCTCCAAGATAGCCTGGAAGAGAGCCCCCCCGAAATGAGACCCCCCTCCCTTTATTACGAAATCTGGAGTATCTGGATTTCAACACGTATCTCTGAGCGCGGCAGTTGCAGGACCAGGTGCCAGGGAGCGGGCGGACCGTTTGCGCGGGGAGAGGTCGCAGCCTCCGGGCTTGCCTGGTGTGGATCCCTGGGGCCCTTTGTGCCACACAACGGGCAATGACGACGCTGCCTCGGGTCTTTCTCATGAGAAGTACAGTCGGGGCCCTGAAGAAGGAACCCTTTTCGTTGGGGAGGGGCTCGGTGTTCCTTAATTGTTCCACACCTTGCCCAAGGTTTTCCTTAAGCTTTCGATGGGAAGTCGAAGGTTAACCTATGAAAAAAGAGGCCTCGTTCCTTATTTAGGGTTCCTTAGGTCAGCGCCTCGACTGTATGTTCGTCCCACGGGTGCCGACGCCGACCCGTCGCTCGGGATTGGGGATGCCATGAGAAATCGTCCCCGGCAAGTCTCTGCTATGTTTGTTAGTGTTCACGCTCGAGTCCCTCGGAGTTGGCCAGGCGCCATATTCCAATGGAGCCCGGCGCAGGCAGCACTGCTGATGCTGAATTGGCGGGCGAGGCTTCGACCCGCGCCCGGACTCCCGAATTTCTTCGGCATCAGATGCTTCCCAATGAACTACGAGCCTAGCTATCAGGCACCGCCTCCTTCGTGCGGGCCTGGACGCCATCCAGGCCGAGGAGCGGGTAGGTCTGGTTCGAGGAGGGTGACAACGGCCCGCTTTCTTCCCCCTTCCCCCTCCATCGTTGTTGCCTTCTCCTCTCGTCACACCCCGGACGACTCATGTAAGCGTTGTACTGGTTGTTTTGTCTCGGCTTCGGCCGCCACATCTATCTGTCACCGAGCGCGTTCCAATACTCGCAGAGTGCCTACTCGCAAACGTCCGAGAAACACATGTCTGCTTCGATGTAATGTATCGTAGATCCCTGGCGGCGGGTCCAGGTCATTTGCGAGAAGTTACTTTGCGAGTAGTGTAAAGCGCTCGTCTAATCTGAGTGGCTAGCCCCCCCAGCTTCACTCCTGCCCATTCCAAAGATAAGTTTATGGCCCATCCCCTGGGAGGGCGGCTCCACGTCGCTGGGGGGTGGGCACGTGAGCCTCATCATATGAGGCTTCGTAGAGCTCGGTCAGTCTGGTTGTGTAGATCTTGCGGCTTCGATGCTCAGCATTCTGTGCGCGAGTTGTCGAAACCGCGTGTTAGTGAGGTGGCTCCTCAAGGTTCGAGTATTTGTCTCGCCTCGAGCCGGGGCTTTGGCCGAAGCAGCTTAGCAAGGCTGAGCGTTTTGCGTCGGGGCCAACTTTTACTTCTCCCTTGACCACTATGTGGTTTTGCAATTTTCTGCTCCTCATGCTCCTTCTCTTCCTCTTCCTCCTCCTCCTCCTCCTCCTCCTCCTCCTCCTCCTACTAGTCCTCCTCTTCCTCCTCCTCCTCCCCCTCCTCCTACCTCCTCCTCCTTCTCCTCTCCTCCTCCTCCTCCTCCTCCTCCTCCTCCTCCTCCTCCTCCTCCTCCTCCCCCTCCTACCCCTCCTCCCTTCCTCTTCCCTCCTCTAGTCTCATCCCCTTCCTCCCTCCGTTCCTGCTGGCCGCTCCCCAGGACTGCCAGAAGAAGCATCTGGACGACAGGATCAAGGCCGCCAAGAGCCAGCAGAAGGCGAAGGCGGCCGCTGCGATGAGCCGCATGACCGGCAACGCGGACGTCGGGCTGAAGGCCCGCTGGGGGGAGAACGGCAGGTCGGCCTGGCAGGACGGGGGGCCAGCACTCCAGGGCCACGCGCCTCCTCCTCCTCCTCCTCCTCCTCCTCCTCCTCCCTCCTCCTCCTCCTCCTCCTCCTCCTCCTCCCCCTCCTGGTTCTGGTTCTGGTTGAGGCGCACCCAAGTGGGGCGCGTTGGTGCCGAAGCCCCGGGCAAAGGGCAGGCATGAGCAGTCCCGAGTAGGGCGCTGGCAGTGGGGCAAGTGCCCGGCGCGCGTGCCCGCTCCCAGGGGGGCCGGGTGTCGCTTCATGCGAGACAGTTGTAGGGGCCCCCTGGGAGCCGCGCCTGCCACGCCACCAAATTGCGGAGCGCCAGTGCGCGAGCGCGAGTGCGCGTGTTGCCAACTGGCCGCATCGAAACAGGGATCCTCGTCGTCCTCCCCCACCCCGCCACAGCTCCACCACCACCAGCCAGGCGAGGGAAAAGGGGGGAGGGAGGAGGGCGGCGGGAGGAGACGCCCCGGGGAGGGGGCAGCCGGGAGGGCGACAGGACGACGGCGACGACAGGAGACGACGAGGGCGACGCCGACGAGAAGCAACGGCGACGACGACGACGACGACGGCGAGGGCGACGAAGACGAGAGCGACGGCGACGAAGACGACAACGACGGCGACAGCGGCGGCGAAAACAGCGACGACGACGACAGCCAATGGACACGCAGCGCCCAATTACCAGAAGGGCCCACGCGGGTGGAAAAGAGGGAGCGAGTTCCCGGGGCGCGCGCGGCTAGCCCCGGGGCCGGCTGCCGCGCTCTGCGCTCCTGGAGCGGCAGGAGGAACTCAGGCGGGGGCGGCGGCGGCGGCGGCGGGAGGCAGCGGCCGGGGGCGCCCCCGCAGCCTCAGGGCGACGACGACGACAACGACGACGACGACGACGACAGCGACGACGACGAAGACGACGAAGACGACGACGACGACGACGGCGACGACGACGACGACGACGACAGCGAAGGCGGCGACGGCGGCGGCGGCGGCGGCAGCGGCGGCGACGGCGGCGGCGGCGGCAGCGGCGGAGGCGGCGGCGGCGGCGGCGGCGGCGGCGGGAGGCCCCGGCCGGGGTGGCAGCAGCAGCAGCCGTCGGAGGGGCAGCGGCGGTCAGGCCCGTGGCGGCAGCAGGAGCGTGGAGGGCCAGCGCGGGCGGCGCGCCCAGAGCGCCGGGCGCGGGCGGAGGCGCCGCCGCGGCGTGGGGCCGGGGCTGGTTCCCAGCCCAGGGGACGGTCCACGCAAGCACTGCTTCGAGGAGCCGCTCTCGGACCTTCGGGTTGCCGGCGACGGTCACTTTGGCTCGCCGGAGCCAAAAGTTGATCACCCCGCCGCCGCCGAGCGGACGGAGCGCCAAGCCGATCCGGGCCCCGTTGGTGCCAAAGAGCCAGAATGCCTGGCGGGAGTCGGTGTAGAGCCCGCAGGCGGCAGGCAGCTGAAGGACCTCTTGCTCCGTGAGCGCGCGCCCGTCAGCACGCGCAGGGAGCCCGCGGCGGAAGCGGGCGCTACCCGGGTCAGCGCCGGTGTAGCGCCGCGAGCGCCGCGAAGAGCCGGAAGGCGCGGGAAGCTGCTGGGGCTGGCGCTGCGCCGGCGCCGCCGGCAAGGAGGCGGACGACGAGGGCGGGCCGCTGGGCCACCAGGAGCAGGCGGACGAGGGGGACAGCGGAGGTGAAGGCAGCACGGGCGCCGCCGGCGGGGGGCCCGACGACGGGGGCGGGCCGCACGGCCGCCCGGAACTGGCCGGCGCAGGCGGAAGAGGCTGGGGCGCGGGCATCCCCTGCGACGCAGGCGGCGGGCCAGAGGAGGACGCAGCGGGGCCGCCCAGAGGCGGAGGGGCGGCGGGCGAACTGCGCCACGGGGGAGTGGCCTGCGACGCCGGTGCTAGGCCCGGGCTCGCCCCCGCAGCACCGCCCGAGCTACCGCCCGCTGCGCCCGCAGCCCAGCGCAGATTTGCGGCACGGAGGGCGGCAGCGGCACCCTGCGCAGAGCCCCCGTGCACCGCCACCAAGGCCTCGGCGACCAAGGGGTCCAGGTAGTTGGCCCCGAGCAGGAGGGTGTGGACCACCTCCGCAAGGCCCACGGGGCGCCCCAGCCGCCCGAAGAGGGCAGCGGCCGCCAAGGCCGCAGGCGCGGCGTGCCCGGGCGCGGCGGCAGCCAAGGACTGCAGAGCAAAGACGAGATCCGAGGAGGGCACCGCCGATGCACCCGCGAGCTCTTGCACCAGGCCTGCGAAGGGCGGACCCATGGATGCATGGGCGAGCCAGCCTGCCAAGGTCTCTGCCGGTAGGAGGCCGACCGCGGCCAGGAGCGCCGGCGAGTAGGCCGAGTTGCAGACGCCAGGGTGCGAGGGCAAAGTGCGCGCAGCTGCCGCCGCCAGCAGGGAGCTGAAAGGCCCCTCGCTGCCCGCCGCGTCGCCGCTGCAGTGCGGGGCGCCAGGCGAAGCCGGAAGCACCGGTGACAGAGGCGAGCCAGGCGCCGCCGACGAAGACGACGACGAAGACGAAGACGAGCTGGACGAGGGCAGAGCAGCGGTGTTCAGGAAGGCCCCGAAGACCGGCGGCGGCACGGGGACCGCTGCTGGCTCGGCCGGCGCACGGCCAGGGGCCATGGCAGACTCGGCGGGGAATCCAGTGAGGCCTGGGACTGTCTCCGCCTCAGGATCCACCTGCGCAGGGGCACCAGTGGGAGGCACGAGGACCGCGCCGGCATCTGGCCCCGCCGGCCCGCTGCTGCTGGGTTGGGTCCCGCCTCCTCCTCCTCCTCCTCCTCCTCCTCCTCCTCCTCCTCCTCCTCCTCCTCCTCCTTCTCCTCTCCTCTTCTTCCTCCTCCTCCTGCTCCCCTCCTCCTCCTTCCTTCCTCCTCCTCATCCTCCTCTCCTCCTACTCCTCCCCCCCCTCCTCCTCCTCCTTCCTCCTTCCTCCTCCTCATCCTCCTCCTCCTCCTTCTCCTCCTCCCCTCATCCTCCTCCTCCTCCTCCTCTCTCCTACTCCTCCTCCTCCTCCTCCTCCTCCTCCTCCTCCTCCTCCTCCTCCTCCTCCTCCTCCTCCTTCCCCCCCCTCCTCCTCCTCCTCCTCATCCTCCTCCTCTCCTCCTCCTCCTCCTCTCCTTCCTCCTCCTCATCCTCTCCTCCTCCAC